CTGAGTTGTCACAGTCCTTTATATATTCTAGGTATGTTTCTTATCAGATATCTGAGTTGCTAATTTTTCTCTATATTGTGGGTTGTCTCTTCACATTCTTTTTTTTTTTTTTTAAAGATTTTATTTTTTCCTTTTTCTCCCCAAAGCCCCCCGGTACATAGTTGTGTATTCTTCATTGTGGGTTCTTCTAGTTGTGGCATGTGGGACGCTGCCTCAGCGTGGTCTGATGAGCAGTGCCATGTCCGCGCCCAGGATTCGAACTAACGAAACACTGGGCCGCCTGCAGCGGAGCGCGCGAACTTAACCACTCGGCCATGGGGCCAGCCCCATCTCTCTTCACATTCTTAATGGTGTCCTTTGAATCCCAAAAGTTTTTCATTTTAGCGATGTCTAATTTATATGTAGTAGAGTTTTACTAGTTGCAAATGATTCAGACATTAACTCACATCCTCATCAATATTTTGGTTATCTGAGTTAAAAGACTGCTGTCAAAGGGTCAGGGCAAGATTTGAATTTGTTCATTTCAAGATTAACTATAGATCCAAAAGAACTCATCAGGGAAGATGTCAAATGTCAAATATTTCTTTATTATCCTTTTGATGTTCATGGGGTCAGTAATCATAGCCCCTCTCTCATTTCTGAGAAGAGAAATTTGTGTTTCTCTTTTTTTTTTTCTTTCTGAGTTAGCCTGCTTAGAGGTTCATCCAATTATTTTAATCTTTCTTAAGAACTAGTTTTGGTTTTACCGATTTCTCTATTGATTTCCGATTTTCAGTGTCATTAATGTCTGCTGTAATATTTTTTATTATTTCCTTTTTTCTGTTTGCTTTAGGCTTACTTTGTTTTTCTTTCTCTAGCTTAGATTATTGTTTCAGATCTTTATTTTTTCTAACATGTGCATTCAATGCTATAAATTTCCCTCTGGGTATTCCTTTCACTGCATTACACACATTTTGATTAGTTGTATGTTCATTTTGATTTAGTTGAAAAGATTTACAATTTCTCTTAAGACTTCTTTCTTTGATCCATATGCTGTTTAATCTGCAAATATTTTGGGATCTTCCAGTCACCTTTCTCTTTTTGTTTCCTACTTCAAAGTCCTTTTTGGTCTGAGAACACACGTTGTCTGATTTCTATTGTTTTAAGTTTGTTGAGGTGTGGGATTGTTTTTACCCAGAATGTGGTCTATCTGGTGAATGTTGCATGTGAGCTTTGGAGCCTGGGTGTTCTGCTGTGTTGGATGCGGCCTTTTATGAATGTTACTGAGCTCCAGCAGATGGGTGGCACCGTCCAGTCCGTCCTTCCTGAGGTTCTGCCTGCTGCTGCGTCTGTCACTCACTGAAAGAGCGGTGTTTAGTGCTGTCGTGGGGAGTTGTCTGGTTCTGTGTCCATCCACTGTGATAGTGGATTTGTCTATTTCTCCTTGCAGTTTTATCAGTTTTTCCTCACATATTTTGATGTTCTGTTGTTAGAGGCATGTATGTTAAGGACTGTCATGTCTTCATGGAGAAGTGCCCCCTTTCACATCATGGAATGCCTCTTTCTCCCTGAGAATTTCCTTGTTCTGAAATCGGCTTTATCTGGAATTAACACAGCTCCTCTAGCTTTCCTTGGATGTGTGCTATCCTGACTTAGTCTTGTCCTGTCCCTTTACTCCTAACCAACCTGTGTCTTTACAATGAAAGTGGGTTTCTTGTGGACAGCATGTAGTTCGTTCTTATTTTTTTAATGTGGTCTGATGAAGTCTGTCTCTTACTGGCCGCATTTAGACCATTCCTATTTAGAGTGATTATTGCTATAGTTGGATTAATATCCACCACATTTGTAACTGATTCTATCCAATGCTTTTGATCTTTCCATTTTGTCCTGTACTTTTTAAATTATTTCTTGCCCTCTCTGGTTTTAATTGAGCATTTTACAAGATCCTACCTTTTATTTTCTTTTAGCATATCAATTATACTTCTTTTGAAGTTTTTAAATGGTTTCTGTAGAGCTTACAATATAAATTTACAACTAACCTCAGTTCACTTTGCAATGACACTGTGTTTCTTCATGGTTAGTGCAGGTCCCTTATGACAGAGTGTTCCCAATTCCTCCCTCCCATCCTGTATAAAACATCTCCACTTATGCATGAAGTATTATCACCAAATGTATTTTCACAATTACTATTTTGAGCAAAATGAATTTCTTAGGTCACTTAAGAATAAGAAAAATGAAAACAAAAACTGAACACTGTTTTATTTTACCTTCCATTATTCCTTCTCTAAGCCCTATACATCCACTAGCTTAGTTCTCCTGTGGGTTCCAAAAATCCAGCCCTGATACCATTTCAGAAAGCTGGGGGACACCCCTCCTTAGACTGCTTGGCTTGGTTTTGGCACTTTAACATCATTCTGGAAGCGTGTTCTAATGGTGGAAAAATTGCTGCTGCCACGAGCATTTCCGGTGGGGCTAGAGGGGCCACCAGCTGAAGGTGTCCCACGGAGGGATGTGCTCTCTGCTGGACACGGGTCCTCTGCCACCTGAGCCCCGGCCTGCTCCCTCCACCCGTGCCTAGAAGCCCCAAGGTGAGGAGACAGACCTGAACCCCCTGCCCGGGCACCTTCTGCCTGCAGGTCAGAGTCGGAGTCCGCGTCCAAACCCCCCTGGCCCTCCGGACCCCTGCAGGACGCCGAGCGACCACCGCCGCCTGCTCCCGCTCTTCACTCTCCCCAGACCTGTCACAGGAACCCTCATAGTTCCACACATTTCACAGTCCCGGGCACTGAGGCTGGGACTGAGTCAGGTGGCACCTAGAGCGCCGCCGGGGATGTGGGCGGACCCGCCAGCCGCATGGACCAATTGAGTGTGGCGGGCAGCGAACAGGAGCCCCCCGCAGCCAGTAGAGACGCTCTCCTAGGTCGCCCGGGCAACCCTGGGCTGTTGGTCGCTGTGGACACAGCCACTGGCCTGCGCTGACCTTGAGCCGGCTCCTGGCCAGGACTCAGAAGGGCGCGCGCCACGGGCCAGGCGCAGGGCTGGGTGCCTGGCGGGCGCTTGTTCTCCCTGCCGTCCGCGTGGGTCCAGCATCGCCCCCCTTCCGCGGACTGAGGACCCTGCCGGACTGCAGAGCTGTGCTTAGTCCCTGTGCTTGGGGGTGGGGCAACTCTGCTAGGTACCGCACAGGAGGGGCTGGGGGACCTTGCAGGGCCAGCCACCCTCCTCTCTGGAGCCAGAGTCAAGCTGTCTCTCTGTGGGTCCCAGTTCTCTCTCCTGATCTAGCGTCGGATGTCCGGCTTCCTCCACCAGGAACATCCCTCCCCAGCTTCGCTTGCTGAACTTCAGAATCTGCAGTGTCAGCTCAGAGGGCCCTTCTTCCTGAAGCTTTCCTTGGCCCCTCCTCTGGGCTCTGCTGCCCCCATGGCATCCTCTCAGAGTACCTATAACCCTGTCATGCCCTCACCCCCAAGGAAGTGAGGTCAAAGGGCAGGGGAGAGGTGCTCCTGTCTGTGCCCCAGGGCCCAGCAGAAGGAGTGTGGTGAGGAAGGGAGGCCCAGGGCAGTTGGGGGTTGGGACTGATCCCAGGGCTGGGGTGCCGCTGGATCCTGCCCCGAGTGTCCCTTTAATGCTGCTGACCTGGCCTGGCCTGGGCATCTGCCTTTGCCTGCTGTTCAGCAGGGGCTGCAGCTGCTGTGCTGACTCCTGCTCCCAGCAGCCAGCAGGAACTGAGAGCAGGGGCTCCCCAGGGGCCGGGACAGGCTGGGACTTCTGGATTACAAAACTGAGAAGTACGTGGTGACCAGGAAGTGGCGGGTGAGCGCCCTGCAGAGGCTGCTGGAGCTCGGGGTCCTGGTCTACGTGGTGGGTGAGAGAATGGCTCCAGGACAGTTGGCTGGAGGGACCCTGACTGGTCCTGCTGGGCTGAGGGTTGGGGGTCTGACTCTCCAGGGGCTGGGCTGGTGGTGGTGGAGGAGGCATGTTGGACAGGGGAGGGGCAGAAGGAAGGATCTCCGTCTGTCTAGAGGCCAGCAGGGACAAGAGCGAGCCATGTGCTTGTGTCCTCCTGTGTGCCCACCTGCCCCCTTTCCTGGGCCTTGTCCCCAGCCCCATGTTGGGCTCTGGGCGCAGAGCAGGATGGTCTTGCCCTGCCCAGGAGGCCCCACAAGGGCAGGAAGTAGTCCCTGACCCCTGTGAGAGCTGCAGCCCTGAGGCCCCTGAGAAAGGCCACCAGCTGTGCTGGGTCTGGGGAGCCTTTGAGAAGAAGCTGATGTGGCCAGGGCAGGGGAAGGGGGATGCTGGTGAGGAAGGAGGTGGCCAGCTCACTCTGAGCCCATGGCTCTCTGATGTGTGGCCAGAACATCTGGCCTGTGTAGGGTGTTTGTGTGGAAATGAGGCTGGAGAAGAGGCAGGGCCTGAACGCTGTGCTGGGAGCCTATAGGGTGTGTAGGGGCTGAGTGGGTGGGGCCAGCTCTGCTGCTGCCCACTGTGTGGGGGACATGCTGCTCTGCCCATCGCCTCCCCCCCAGGTGGGCCCTCCTTGTCACAAAAGGCTACCAGGAGCAGGACCTGGACACCCAGATTTCTGTCATCACCAAACTCAAAGGGGTTCCCGTGACCCAGAAAAGGAGCTGGGGAACCAGCTACAGGACATGGTGACTTTGTAAAGCCACTACATGTGGGAGTCTGGGTGCTGCTGCCTGGCGCTGACACCTTTGACCCCACCCCTGCAGTGAGTGTGTGCAAGAGGGGCACATGATGGAGAGAGGGTGCTGGCGCTGTCACAGGGCCGGGCTCAGGGAGGGCCTGACAGAGTAATGGCCCTGGACAGGCTCTCAGGGAAGTGTAAGAGGTTTCCAGGTGGACAAGGGGACAAGTCAGGAAGCCGGGCTAGAGGGACTGCATTTACAAAGGAGCATCTGGAAGAATGGAGGGTCTGGGGGCTCAACACTTGAGCTTGAGGGAGGGGTGGGGGGCAGGGGGCAGGGCCTGGAGCTCCTGAATGCTCCCTCCCTGCCCTGGGCCATGCAGGCTGGTGCCTCCTCTGCCTGCCCCATGCTGCCTTCCAGCCCCTCCTCCCTCCACCCAGATCCTCCACAGCCCCCGTCTCCTCTGTTCTGCTGATGCCCACACTGTACCCCAGGGACACCTGCCCCAGCATAGCTGCCTCCTGGTGCACACCCACCTTGTCCAAGAGAACACTCTCCCTCGCCCAGGGGGGCCTCTTTTCATCCAGTGAGGCCATGATGTCCCCAGTGCCAAAGCTGGACCTGGGTCCAGACCTCCCTGCCCCTCCCTCCAGTCCATTCCATCTGTGACAGTTTCCCTGCTGCCCCCGCTGTCCCTGTGATCTTCCTGTGGGTCCCCAGGTGTGCTCCATGCAGAGGCCAGGCTGAGCTTTCACAAGTGACACCATCAGACCTGCCAGCCCTTGTTTTCCACCCTTGGAGGCTCTCTTTCCATGATGGTGGCCACCAAGTCCCTTAGCCCTTCCTGTCACCCTGGTGCTGTGTTCTTCCTGCTGCCTCTGAGCCAGGGGCCTGGTCAGCAACATCCACCCGCCGCCTAGCAGAGTCATGTCTGTTCCAGTGCCTGACACTTGAGGGTGCTTCCTCTCCAGGGTCTGGGACTCTCAGAGAGCTCACCCCCGCCCTCTCCTGGCTGATGCCCAGAACTCTGTGACCCTGTGCAGGCACTGATGTCCCTGTTTACAGCAGAACAAATGGGAAGGGAGTGGCCTGTGGTCCCTTGGCCAGTGTGTGGGGTCCCACTTCTGTACAGGCCCCTCTGAGGGTCCCGCCCTTTGTGTGCCACACCCAGCACCTCCACCCTGGCATGAGCTCACCCTCCCAGAGTCCCTCCAGCTTCCTTATTCTGTCCTCTGAATTGGACCAGAGGAGCTGGGCCTTGAAGATTCACTTCTGCCCCCCCCAGGGACAGAACTGTCAGGAGGGAAGGAGTCTCGCTCTGCCTTGGGAGACAGCCCTGCACCCCTGTCTGGCCGGGGGGCTGCTTGCCCTCCCCCTCTGACCACCTCCTTTTATCTGCACCCTCCAGCTTTCCCATGTGCCCCAAACTCAGGGAACCTGGGGGTTAAACAGGGGAGGGGTGTGTCCCTGGGGACTGCAGGGCTGGGTCATGCAGGGGAGACACCTCCTGGGCCTGGACAGCTCTGCTCTCTCACCACCTCAGCCCCCTGCCATGCCACTGGGGACTGGCTGGGGTGATGAGGACTGTCCTGGAGGGGAGACGGGGATGTACAGCCACGGTAACTGTGGGCCCCATCTTCCAGTGCCTCCCCTGGGATGGGGTTCAGGGGGCCGAACTGGGACCCTGAGTGACTTGCTTGTACAGGCCCAGTGGTGCCTTGCATCTCTTCTTTCTGCCAGTGGCGTGCTGCCCACTCCCTCCCCAGGCCCTGTGGGGATTGGAGGCCTGGACCTTGTCTCATGTTTTCAAGGCATAAAAAGGGGCAGTGTGTGATCTTCAATGGGACCTCCACGGGCCTGCTGCCCTGTGGAGAGTGACACTGTGCCTGTGTAAGTGTCCCTGACACCCAGGGCAGGGTCCCAGGACCAGCAGAGCCTGCCCCTTACCTCCCCCCACCTGCAGGAAGCCCCTGCTGGTCCAGGCTGAGAACTTCATGCTGTTCATTAAAAACACTGTCACCTTCAGCAGGTTCAACTTCTCCAAGTAAGCATGGTGGGTCCTGGCTGGCCCTGATCCTCCTTGTCACCTCCTGGCCCAAAGCCCAGCCCTACCCCCTCTCAGGTCTAATGCCTTCGAGACCTGGGACAACACCTATTTCAAGTGCTGCTCCTGTGACCTACACTTCAGCCCCTACTGCCCTGTGTTCCACATTGGGGACCTCGTGGCCATGATTGGAGGGGTCTTTGAGGACCTGGCATTGCTGGTGGGTCCATGGGGTACAGGGTTGCAGGAGGGCCCACTTTCTCTCTCCCACTCTAGGGAACTGGGTATATTTAGATGGATTTCACAGGAAACCATTGGAAAGTAAGTGGCAGATATCCAGACACTCACCCCTCAACAATGCTGTCCTGAGAATGAGGACCTTCCCCAGGTGACTGCTGTCCTCTCGTCATACTCAGGAAATGTAACATTGGCAAATAAATCTAATATTTTAATTTCCCCAGTAGTGGCAACAATAGTCCTAAATCTTTTTATTTTCCAACCCAAGATGCACTCAAGGCTGTTGCATGTATTGTTGTGTCTTTGAGGCTCCTAAGCAGACCTGTCCCATTCTTCTGACCCTTCATGTCACCTTGTCACCCTCATGCAGACGTGCACACAGCCACCAGGCCTGGAGCTGACATCATGTGACGCACACTGGGCCCTCCTGGCCTGGCTTTGCTGGCCCCCCAGCCCTGTGCAACCATGTGGGGCTGGACCAGCCCATGCCCTGACCCCCTCCCCTCTGCACTCTCCCTGCCCTCCATCTCTACCTGGAGCTCCTTCCTGAGCCCTGGGAATCCAGCCTGAGGGGCTCCCAGCAGGAAGTCTTCCCTGGCTCCTGGGGGAGATTGAGTGCCCCTCTCTGGACCCCACAGCAGCAGGCCTACCCCACCTCTCCCACCCCCACTGCTGGTGTCTGTTTATTGACCCTTCTGTCCCCATCCCCTCAGCAGGCAGGGAGCTTGTGAGAGGCAGGTCCCAGCTTGCTTGTCCCCTGTGTCCCCAGCAGTGACACAGGGCTGTGACCCAGGACTCAGGCTGGTGGTGGATGGAGTCAGTGGATGAGTAAGATGAGGCCTGTGAGGGCCAGGCCCCCCAGGAGTGGGCAGCGCAGTCACTGGACCCTCTCCTGCCCCAGGACAGCCACTCCCCGGGGGGAGGCCTCAGGCATGGAGGCCCGGAGCCTGCTCAGCTCTGTAGGGTCCGCTTTGACATTCTGGTCACTGGGCATGTAGGGGTCAGTCTGCGGAGGATGTGGGCAGGCAGGGGTGGGGGTGGGAGGGGGTGACAGCCACAGGCAGAGAAACTCAGCCTAGATCTCTCTCAGGCAGGGAAGTTTGGGCTCATCCCCACAGCCCTCACTCTGGGCACTGGAGTGGCCCGGCTGGGTGTGGTGAGTCTGGCCATCGTGGCTCCCTCTGGCTGCCGGCAAGCATGTGTCCCATGAGTGTACCCCTGTGCCCCCTGTGCAGACACTGAGTCTCAGTGTGAGGGCTGGGGAGGCGACGGGATGGCAGGTTGGGGTCCTGGCCATGGGTCTGCCCTGCCTCTCCCAGATCACCTTCTGCTGTGACCTGCTGCTGTTGTACATGGATGGAGAAGCCCATTTCTACTGGAGGACCAAGCATGAGGAGGGGGCTGTGGGCCTGCCTGACCCTGTGCTACACTTTGGAGGTTGGTGGCTGGAGTCTCGACGTACTGTCCTCATCTGCTGGTAAATGTCCCTCAGGGAACTGCCAACCCTGAGCAGAAAGGTAGCTTCCCCACCCCCACATCCGGCTGCCCTGGTGCCTTAGAGGGGGCCCCACAGCTGTCCCCACTGCTGCTGCAGAGAGCTGGACACCGTCACCAGGGTGGCCCTAGGACCCATTCGCTGGCCCATTCCTGAGGCCTGTAGACTTTCTCTGCTGGTTGGGGGTTCAGGACGGAAAAGGGTGGGGGCCTAACCTTGAGGACTCATGGATGAAACCCAGGCAGGACTGGGTAGGGGAGAACGCCACCCTTCAGCTCCCAGACTATCTCTCCCCCAGCAGGCTGGCCTGATTCTGGCTCTGGAATCCTCCTGGGGGCCTGAGTCCTGCCTGCTGGAGAATTTCCCCGTGTCCCGGGCCCACGGTCAGGAGGGGAGGGATGGGGCTGCAGGAGCCAAGCCCTCTTTGGGTCTCAGACGGGGCAGCGTTTGGGGTAGCCACTCCAGGGAGACAAGGGGCTGCCTTCTCATGGGTCCTGGTGAGCAGGGCCATGCTGACAGCTTTCTGGTGGAGCAACATGGACCAGGCTGGGTAGGGGAGACCTGGGGCTCAGGCTGGGCAGCTTCTGGAATCATCTGGCAGCTGGAGCCTCAGTAAAGCCTTGGGGTCCCTGCTGCCTCTCACCCCCAGGGCCGTGTCCATGGAGGCAGGGTCAGAAGGGCTTGGGTGAAAGGTCATGGTCCTGAGGCTTCATTATTGGAGTGGGGATCACGTGTCCCTGGTTGTCCTCGGGGCCCAGAGAAAGTAATGCCAAGGCTGCAGAGACTTGAGGAATAAAGATGCCAAAGCCAGCAGCTTCCTGTGTGGTCATCACAGGCAGGAACGGGGAAGTGGTGGTGTCTATGGTAGAAAGAGCATGGCCTTAGGGAGGCCACAGGGGGGTGCAGGGTGGGCCTGGTGACCTGAAAGGATGGGGTCCCAACACCAGAGGTGGGCTGAAGGTCCCTGGAGCAGGCCCAGGTACTTGTGCACCCACCTGCCTGCGTGTGTCCCATCCTGAGCCTTTGTCACAAAGCCCTGAGAGGGCGGCAAGGAGAGAGGCCGCTGGAAGCTGTAGGCAGCCCTGAGCTGGGAAACAGCTGCTGCCTCAGTCTGCACGTGGGTGCACGCCCAGGAGACCGTGTGCGCCATGTGGGCCTGTGCCTGAGAGATGTGTGTGCCCAGGCAGGGGGGCTTCTCCATCCGGGGCAGGCCCCAGGACATGCCCTGCTCTCTGGGAGCCCTGGGAAACCAAGGGAACCCCAGAACTCCACCGCACTTTCTAGGCGGCCTTCTTGGGGTCCAGGCTCTACTCTCTGGATCTGCCCCCGAGAGGACATGTGGGGAGCCTTGGCGGGAGCCTGTCCCCACGCTGTCAAGGACCCCACTGTAGTTAGGGTGTGTAGCTCCCCTCAGAGCTGGGCAGAGCGCAATGGCCCTAAGGGAGGACCCTGTGACCCAGGCCTGGGAATGTTCCTGACTCAGGGCCATCCCAGGGCTGGTGTCTCCCCCTTACAGAACCCTAGTACCTTTGCTGTGGATTGGGGACAATCGTCTAGATCCCAGCGGTAGATGAGGGCTCAGTGCCACAAAGAACACCACACTGGACATGGCAGCAGGTCACATGGCTGGCTGAGCAGTTCCTATTGTGGGTCCCTGGGACTCAAGGCTCTTCCCTGCCCATCCTACTCCACCTGCCCAGGTAGCTGGAATTGGTCATAAACTGGAGGATGGGGGGCAGAGTCTGCCACACCAGCGCTGGCCATGGCCCACTTCCAAAGACTCAAAGCTCAGCACCTGGGCTAAGGTCCTGAGGTCCTGAGGTCCCCTCAGCATGGGCAGACCTACAAATCCAAGCTGCCCTGGATAGAGGGGCTACCAACCCCTCTGGCCTTCTGAGGAGGCGGGTGAGGGCAGACAGGCCCCAGCAGTCCTCATAGACTGGTGGGCTGCTCAGTGTGTCTGGGTCCTGGGCTGGTGCCTGGCTGGGAGCTGCAGGGCCTGCACCATCTCCTCCAGGCTGCCAAGTGGGACAGTCAGGCTGGCCGCTCCCGCTGGTTCTCCTTGCTGTGCCAGATACCATAACCAAAATACACCGCAAGTCCTGCAAGGGTGGCACAAGTGTGAGGGGCAAGTCCCAGCACTGCCACCCTGCTTGCTAGCCTCCTGCAGCGCACCCTGCCCCAGAGTCCCAGTTGGGCCCCAACTCACCAATCAGCAGCCAGATGGACAAGTACAGCCAGGTCAGGTAGCTCAGGTGCAGCATGAGGAAGATGTTGAGGAGGATGCTCAGGGCGGGAGTCAGGGGCACCATGGGAACCTGAGGGGACAAGGACAGGGCTGGGCTGCAGGGAAGGGCTGCTGGCCCAGGGCCTGATTTCTCGGGAGTCCACAGAGCCTTTCTCTGCCTCTGGAGATTCCAGAGACAAGGGCCCACCCGCCATGCAGAGAGCGGGTTGTGGGGTACTGGCCTCCCCCGCCCTGCAGCCCTGGTGCATCCTGCCACGGCAGAGGAGGAAGGGGCGAAGGGAGCCGGCTGGGCTGAGTGTGGTGCATGCTGGCTGGAGGAAGTACCTGAAAGATGTCCTGCCGGCGCTGTTGCTGGTGGGCCCCAAGGACGAGAAGACTGAGCAGAAACGTGGCGGAGCTGAGCAGGAGCAGCAGGGTGTAGGCCCAGGGTGGGAGATGCAGGGCCGAGTCCCCGAAGACCAACACATAGTCCAGAGTGACGGCCGAGGCCACCAGGACACTCAGGGCCCAAGCCACAGCGGCTCCAGGCCTGCACTCACCCAGGAAGCCGAGGTAGGGCCTCAGGGCTGGTCGCAGCTGCCCAGGCTCAGGGGCTGAGGCCTCCTCTGTGCCCTCAGGGCTGTCTGGGCCCTGAGAACTGGATGGAGGGGACTTTTGGAAGCGTAGAATGATAATGCTGGTGGGCAAGCATGTATAGGGCAGTAGTGCACCAATGGACAGGAACTGGACGAGTGCATCGAGGTCCAGCAGCAGCGCCATGAAAGCCATGAGCACCCCGAACACGGGCACCTGCATCCGGTGGTGCATGCGGGCAAACACTTGGAAGAAGAGCCCGTCGGCAGCCATGGCATAGGTGATGTGTGGCAGGTAAAAGAAGTACCTGAGCAGCACACTGGTCATGTCTGTGGCAGAGGGTGGGAGACTGGTCAGCATGGTGGACAGGCCCACCTGGGGCCGCTGCTGGGGGCCAGGGCATGGGTGGCCCCTTGGGAAAATGGACATGAGTTTGTCTGGGCTCTGAGAGTGAGCCTGAATGTTATGTGGATGCTGGATTGTTCCCCCTCACCACGCAGGAATGGGACACCCTAGATTAGGTACAGACCCACTGGAGAATCTGATAAGGACTGAGTCCCTCTGCCTGGAAGGATCTGGAAGAACATGCCCAGAACTGACATTCTGTGTACAACTGGGAGGGGCGGTGAATAGGTCCCTCTCAACAAGCCCGGGTGGAGAATCTAATCATTAGCCCCTTCCTGGGCCCAGGATGCATTGGCAGCACAGGTCCAGATGGAGATGTGTTTCCTGGAGGCTTAGGGCAGAGCCCCACCATCTTGTTCCCTCCCCCCTTGTCCAGAAGGGCCACTTACCACAGATTGCACCAGCTGCCACGATGAAGGCTGCCCAGCTATAGCCCCGCTGGTGGAAGGCATCAACAAGGGCCCAGTCAGGGTCCAGGCTGTGCCAGGGCACCAGGAGGGTGAGGACAGTGGAAACGAGGATGTAGGTACCAGCTACCAGGGTAACTGAGATGGCGATGGCCATAGGCACAGCTCGCTTTGGGTTCTGGGCCTCTGCACTATAGGCAACAATATTGTCAAAGCCCAGGAAGGTGTAGAAGCAGGTGGCGGCGCCAGCCATGACACCAGAGAAACCGAAGGGCGCAAAGCCGCCCTCCTCAATGCTCCAGTTGTGCGGGCGGGCCAGGACAAACCCCAGGACAATGATGAAGAGGATGACGACCACGCTGATGACAAGGAATGTGCGGTTGACCCAGGAAGAGACACGGGTTACACAGAAGCTAAATGCAGAAGCCAAAAGCATGAGGCCAGCAGCCAGGAAGTCTGGGTACTGGGCCAGGAAGGGCACCTGCCAGATGCCCACATGGGCCTCAGTGAAGCTGCGGATGCGGTGTCCAAAAACGGTGTCTAGGTAGCCACTACAGGCACGGACGAGAGCAGTGCAAACAAAGAGACACTGGAGGAGCACGTTCCAGCCAACGAGGAAGGCCCACATCTCACCCACAGACGTGTAAGTGAACAGGTAGGCAAAGCCTGTGTAGGGCACTTGTGCCCCGAGCTCCGCGTAGCACAGGGCTGCCAGCAGGGAGGCCACAGCAGCCACGCCAAAGGACACAAGCACTGCAGGCCCGGCCATCCCCTTGGCCACGGTGCCTGTGAGCACATACAGGCCCAAGCCCACCATGCCACCCACACCCAGCAGAGTCAGGTCCAGCGTGGTCAGATGGCGCTGCGGCAGTGTCTCCCTGGGGGACTCCTCCACTGGCTTCCGCCGGTACAGCTTCTGGCAGAAGTGCGCCAGGCTGGCGGTGCTGGGCAGTCCCCGGGCCATGGTTGACAGCTGAGAGGAGCACCAAGCCAGCTGCCGGCACCTACGAGGGTGAGAGGGGAGTGACAGTCTGCCCTGGGTCTTGACCAGCCTTCAGTCCTTGCTCTGACCCTGCCCTGGGGACCCAAGCCTGGAGCCACTGGCAGCTGCAGGGCTAGATGAGGCAGGCTCCGGGCCTGCCAGCAGGGTGGGCAGGAGGCCACAGGGAAGTGTGGGGATCCCATAGGCCTGCCTCCTGGGCAAGGGACTGGGTGTTTGGGAGGGGCCCTGAGGGTGGGGAGGGGCAGCCCTACAGAGCCCTACTAGGAATGGTGCCAGTGCTCTGGGATCCCAAAGCAGGGTGGAAACCTGAGGCTTCCCGGGAGCTGGGTCAGGCCTCCAGGACCCACCACAGGAGCGACCCTGTGACACTGGGCTATGCCCTGGTGGTCACCAGGCCTCAGACAGCTGTGTTAATCACCCCATTCCTCACCGCGCTGGGCTGTGGTATCAATGCACCCCTCTGGTAGTAGGGGGCACCCTGGGCTGTATGCCCCAATATGCCCTCACCGTGCTTCCCCCAGAACCACTTCTGCCATGCCCCTGTGAGCCAGCACAACAGCATTCACCTCCTCTCCCGCCTGTGTCCTTCCCTGTGGGACTTGCTGCAACTCACCTGGTGTGGCCGCTATCGTTACTCTGTGCATGGGGCTCCCCACACCCCTGGGTGCGATGTCCAACATTGGCTCTACCTTCCAGTTCCACACGCACTCAGCCCACCCTGCCCACACCGCACAAGCTCTAGACCAGACTCCCAGGTTCTAGGGAAGCCCTATGATTGTGCCCAGTTCACAGAGGAGAAAGCCCAGGACTCCAGGTAAGTGACTAGCCAAGGTCACCTAGGTGGCCTCGGGATGCAGGTGGAAGTTAAGGTCCAGGTCTGGGTGGGGTCTGGAGCCCACCTGCTTTCCACTGCTTCAGATGCCCTCCTTGATCCCTTGTCCCAACACATGGACTCCACCAGCGGGGCTCCATCCAGGCCCCTCAACCCTGGGAGGTGTGGGGGCTGCGGGAGTCAGGCAAGACACTGGTAAGATGAGGGTGTGAATGTGGCTGAGAGGCCCTGGGCAGTCCCTGACCTCTGGCACAATGGGACGGCAGTAAGCCACCCTCACCCACTGACGAGGGAGCGCCCGGCTGTGGGGAGTGTTCTGTGAATTGGCAGAACTCATGCTGGCTGTTCTGAGCTTCCACCTACGGACAGTGTCCTGAAAGGAGACAAGCAGACCCCTGGGGATGACCTCCAGCCCTCCAGCTTGGGGCACCCTAGGGCCCCTCAGACACCAATGGCAGCCCCTCCCAACCCAGGAGCACTTGTCAAGCCTTGAGGACCCTGGGGGACCCTAACAGCAGCTCCCCACTTGTGGATCACCTGACCATCACAAACCCCCTCAGGTTTATTTATTCCTGGAGCTGAGGGGTCTTTGTCCTTCTGCTCTCCCTTCTTCTTTGAAAGTGGAAAGGCTGGTGTGACAGGGTATGAACTTGTTTACAGCAAAATCAGGATAATCCATCCAAGCAAAGCAAAACCAAAACAGTCATCCTCTTCCCCAGAACTCTCTCCATGTTGTCAGGTTTCTATGTGGTTTGTGGGACAGGACGTTAGGGGCACCTGCAGTCTGGCTCAGCGGGCTGGTGACAGGGTGGTGGACTCCCAGGCAAGATGGTGCCACTTGGAGCACTCTGCCTTAGCCAGCCCATTGCTCCCTTCTGGTATGTGGCTGACGTTGTCTTGAGGAGCTTCCTGCAGGGGTGACCCCTCCTGCACCTCGCTCCTTGTGGCCTAAACATAACCAAGCAGATGTTCCTTGTTCTGAAACGCCTTCACAGAAACCCAGAAAAATGCATTTCCAACCAAGAGGCCTGGGCAGTTGTGTAAGAGGAGCTCCCCCAAGGCCTGACCGACGGCCACCTAAGAGCTGGTGTGCAGGGTTTCAGAGCACTGACTGTTCATCTACCCAGAGAGGGGCTCTCACCACACCCCCTTCACAGGTACCAACATCCAATGGATACTCCTGGCCAAGCATGGTTGATGCAGTAAACTATAAACTTCCAGGAAGATGGCTGGGCCAAGTGCTGGACCCCAGCGAGCAAGGCAGTTACACTGAGCAACACATGGAGATACAGTAAAGAGAAAGCACCAAAAATACGAGAAGAGAGAACACTTCCAACCTCATCCTACACAGCCAGGAGCACCCTGACACCAAACCCAACAAAGACATCACAAGGAAAGAAAATTACAAACCAATATCTTTTGTGAATATAGATGCAGAATTGCGCAGGTGAATACTAGCAAATCGAATCCAGAAACATATAAAAACGACCATTTGGTATTTATCCCAGGAATGCAAGATTGATTTACCATCTGAAAATGAATCATGTAATATGCCAAACTAATAGAATAAAGGACAAAAACCACATGATGGTCTCAATAGACACAGAAAAACAGTCAACAAAGCTGGACTAGAAGGGACCGCCCTCAAACTGACGAAGACCATCCACGAAAATCCCTTGGCTGCTGTGCTCAGTGGAGAGAGACTGAAAACTTTCCCTTTGCTCAGGAACAACATTGGGAGGGCCTCCTACCCCTGTATCCAACACCTTACTGGGGGATCTGGCCATGGCAATTACGTGAGAACATGAAATCAAAGGAATCCAGATTGGAAAGGGAGGAGTAAAACTATCTCTGGGCTCAGATGACATGATGCTGTGTAGAGAAAATACTAAGGAATCCACACAGAAAGTATTAGAAGTGGTAAACCAGTTCAGTAAGGTGCAGGATACAAGGTCAATATACAAAAATCAATTGTATTTCTATACACTAGCAATGAACTATGCAGAAATGAAGTTAAGAAAAAATTCTGCTTACATTAGGGCTCACTCTTGGTCGTGTACATTCTATGGGTTTCACAAATGTATAATGACATGCACACACTATTACAGTAAGCCCTAAAAGTCCTCTGTGCAGCAGCTATTCATCCCTCCCTCCCACTAACCCCTGGGAACCACTGATCTTTTCACTGTCTCTACAGTTTGGCCTTTCCAGATGTTCATGTAGTGGGAATCGAGTCATATAGTATGTAGCCTTTTCAGGTTGGCCTTTTTCACTTAGTAATATGAATTTAAGGTTGTCTTATGTCTTCTCATGGCTTGATAGCTCTTTTCTTTTTAACACTGAGTAATATTTCTTGTCTGGATGAACCACAGTTATTTATCCATTCACCTCCTGAAGGGCATCCTGGTTGCTTCCAAGTTTTGGAGATTATGAATGAAGCTGCTGTACCATCCATGTGCAGGTTTTTGTGTGGACACAGGTTTTCAACTCATTTCAGTAAATACCAAGGAGTGTGGTTGCTGAATCATTTGGTAAAAGTATGCATAGTTTTGTAAGAAACTGCTAGATTTTATCAGACATGTCTTTTACAAATATTTTCTCCTAGTCTATGCCTTATCTTCTCATTCTCTTGATGGCCAATTTATTCTTGACAAGAGAGCCAAAACAATCCAATGGGGGAAACAATAGTCTTTTGAACACACTGTGCTGTAACAACTGGATCTCCACATGCAAATGAATGACCTCAGACACCTACCTCACACCACATGCAAAAATGAACTCAGAATGGGTCAGGGCTCTTGGGCAATGAGATGCGTTGTCAATGAGCAGTAATATTTTGAAAAAAATCCTTTTTTTGAGCAATAGGTCTCAACAGTGGGTAAAATATTTAGTGAACAGTGTTGTAAACAGATATTCTGTCATCCAGGCTTTCTTGCTCCATTTATAGAGCACAGGCAGAGTAGATTCAGCACCATTCTTAGGGGCCCTAGCATTTTCAGGATGGCAAATGAGCATTGGCTTCAACTTCAAGTCACCAGCTGCATTAGCCCCTGACAAGAGAGTAACCTGTCCTTTGAATCTTGAAACCAGGCCTTGACTTCTCCTCTCTAGCTATGAAAGTCCTAGATGGCATCTTCTTCCAATATAAGGCTGTTTCATCTACTTTGAAAATCTATTGTTTAGAGTAGCCACCTTCACTAATGATCTCAGCTAGACCTTCTGGAGAACTTGCTGCAGCTTCTCCATCAGCACTTGCTGCTTCACTTTGCACTTTTACTTTATGGAGACGCTTCTTTACTTTAACTTCATAAATCAAGCTCTGCTGGCTTCAGCCTCTTCTTCTGCAGCATCCTCCACTCTCTCAGATTTCATAGGGTTGTAGAGTTAGGGCCTTGCTCTGGAGTAGGTTTTGGCTTAAAGGAATGTTGTGGTTGGTGTGATCTTCTATCCAGACCACTCAAACTTTCTCCATACAGCCTTAAGGCTGTTTTGATTTCTTATTTGTGTGTTCACTGGAGCACCACTTTTAGGTCCCTTTAAGAGCTTTTATTCATTTATTTGTATTCACAGCTTGGCTAATTGTCTGGTGCAAGAGGTCAAGCTTTTGGCCAATCTAGGCTTTTGACACGCCTTCCTCCCTAAGCTTAAACATTTCTAGCTTTTGATTTAAAGTGAGAGATGTGTGACTCTTCCTTTCACTTGAACACTTAGAAGTTGATATAGGGCTATTAGTTAGCCTCATTTCAATATTGTTGTGTCCCAGGGAATAGGGAGGCCTGAGCAGAGGGAGAGAGATAGGGGAACAGCTGGTCTATGGAGCAGTCAGAGCACACACAACATTTATCCATTGTTTGCTGTCTTACCTGGGCACAGTTCATGGGAACCCAAAACAATTACAACACTAACATCAAAGATCAGTGATCACAGATCACCATAACGAATTAATAATAATGAAAATGTTTGAAACATTGTGAGAGTTACTATAATGTGGCACAAAGACATGAAGTGAGCAAATGCTTTTGGAAAAATGGCGCCGATAGTCTTGCTTGATGCGGGGTTGCTAGAAATCTTTGATGGGGTTCAGGGCAGGCCAGCCCAGGATGTGCCACTCTGATATGCAGGTTGTTTTGAGCTGAAGACAATCAAGGCTCAGAAGACTCTGGAAGAACTTTGGACCTTCCCTCAAATTGCCTAAAGGAATTCAAGAGAGACAGGCCTGTCCCAGGAAGGAGCTCTTATCATAGCTGATTGCCAATAATTACCAATTTTTAAACTTGACTTTATGCACGACTGATATTATTAACTCTCAGGCAAATGCCCCACAATCTGAAAAAGACAATTGGACACCAAGAGGTGTCAAACAATGGTCAGATGGATTAGACACTGCACCAAAGGGACTTCCTGTAGCTCTCTTTCCTTTGACTTTCTGGCTTGCAATTATCTCTCCGCAAATGGGACTATGTGCAGGTAGGGGAGAGTTAAGGAACTAAAAGATGACTGGTTTTACCCTGGCAGCCACAAAATTTCTGACCCAATTGTTTCCCAGTGCACCACTTGCCAACCTCACCAAGTTTCTGGAGAAATCCGTGTACCCCAGGAAGTCCTCCCAGGCCCGCACTGCCCTGTGTGGCACTCCAAATGGGCTTTACAGCCTTGCCCCAGCTTTAGGCTGTTCTCACTGTTTGGTGATCGTCTGCGTGGTTAGTGGATGCGCTGAATGCTATCCGACTAGACGTGCAGAGGCCACAACAATGGGACAGAAATTAACAACTGCAGCTGTTCCTTGTTCTGGCTTCCTTTACAGATTGAAGCAGAGTGAGGAGCTCACTGTACAGCAGAGATAACCACTTGCTTGAAGAAACTCTGGGGTACTTTTGAAATTTCATACTCCATATCATCCTCAATCATCAGGGTAAGTGGAATGTAAAATTATAGACATCAAAAGGACTTTAGGAAGGTCTTTCAAGAAATGGGACTTCAGTGGCTGGACCCTCTTCCCTTGGCCCTAATAAAGATCTGACAGACTCCAAATGGGAGACATGGATTGATTCCTTGAAATAGTTTTTGGACACCCAACGCATAGTGGTAAACTTTCCATACCTGGATTAAGTGAATATTATGGGAACTTAAGTGAACGATTTGGTGCTGTGAGTAGCTGTAGACAAAAATTAATTGGTCTACTTGAAGTAAATGGTCAACAGCTAAAAGAGGCATGGCCCCCACCTGCTGACAAAACTTGCCCTCCCTCTGGACCTAGAGATCGGGTGTCCATCCAGGGCTCTAGAAGAAAATATGTGCTGTCACCTCACTGGGAAAGACCTTATGAAGTCTACTGACCACCTACACTGCCATGAAAGTATAGGAAAAGTCTTCCTGCATCCACAGAAGCCATGACAAGATAGACCTATAACATCACTCTTTAGACCACTCAGAAACGGTCCCCACAGTTGACCTTAAACTAAGGATTTCCAGGGCTGGTTCCCAGGTCCCAGAAGCAGCCGACCTCATGGAGTAGACAGCATTTCCCAAGATCATGGATCAAGGAATCTATCTTTCACCCATTTTTGCCCCTTGCTTTTAAAACTCCCTACACATGCACACACATACACAACAACAACAACAACAATAACACTTTTACTACTATGGAATATGTATATTCCTTTTAATCATTTATTAGAAAGCTGACTGGAGAGTGCTGGTCTCCATCTGTCCCACTTCCCCTCCCTAAGCTTCTATTTCAAGCTCTTTTCCAATCTCTGTCTTGCTGTTACTAACTCTCTCTTTCTCAACAGGTCAAGCACAAACCAATCTCCCCCTTATGCCAGTTTACCAAACCCTGGCCACACTAAATAATCGGTCTGACTGTTGGCTATGTCAACAGCCAGAGAGCACAGAAGAACCTGAACTGGTCTCTGTTCCTGCTGACGTGAACACCTGGTGGATTAAGCACAGAAGATGGATGAACGACAGGGTATGGTGTCCACGACAAGGAAGACGTCACTCTGTCTCTTCTCCTGGTGAGTCACTTGGGCCCCAGAAAACCTCTATAGAAGCTCCAGGACTGTCCCTTGCCCAGATAAAGACAGTAGGTGAAAGTTGTTCCCTTTGCATTGAAAGTAAACTGGACACTGGACCTTTCCTGGGTGACATACCAGGACAGTATTGGAATCAGACTCTATGGTTTGATTCCACAGGTGGCATATTTAAACCTCTCAAGGAAATTGTAAGTGACTCTAACACTATTCCCTATGGCACAAACATTTGCCAAATCACCACAAGTTCTGGATGGCCTATGAGCCACCCTTATGCAACTTGGGGTATTTCAGCTGCCCACATGGTCAATATGCCAATACCACAAACTACATATGGGTGGATCCAAACTCTGAACTCACTTGGTCAGGTGACAGGACCAGGCTTTATAGCTGCCCAAATCAGACTGCAGGCCTCCTGTACCAGCTATTCTGCATCTGTTCTGCTCTCCCAAGTTGACAGGAACACATGGAAAATGGAGATGTTTAGGCACTAACAGCACCAGGGGCAAAGGCCATGGAATACTCTGGACCCTGGGGACTACAGGTTCAGTTCTAACCTTGTCTGTAAACCACACTGGTCTTTTTATTTTATGTGACAACAAAGTATAGAAAGGGCTCCCAGCTAATTGGCCAGGATGATGTGGACTTGGATACCTGGCCCCTTCTGTCTCCAGATACTCCACCCTAAATGCCAGTCACATTGCAGACTCAGGTGCCTTTGTCCATAAGATTGTGCCACATGAGCGTGCCAGTTGAGAGATTGTAGAGAATCCATTTGTCTATCACAACTCCAAGTTCTTTTCAGGATCGAGAGTCTTCTTCCCCAGCTTTGGAAATTATGAGTTGGAAAAGGCAGTCTTCAGTCTCTCTCTGGTGATGGAACAAGAGTTCAACCCCGCCACACAAACCTTGGTGATGCTCCAGTCAGATTGACTGCCTAGTCTCTGTGCTTCTCCAAAATTGACCTGCTCTGGACACACTGACTGCCCAGCAAGGAGGAGCTTGTGTAGTCACTTGTGAAAAGTGTTGCTTTTATGTGAAAACAGGGCAAGTAGTATCTAACTTCCATCTATAAAGAGAAGATTCCCGTTTTCCATCAGACGAATGAAGCTCACCCATTTCATTGGACTGACTCATTCACAGGATCGGGAACTGGCTTAATGGCATGTGAGGAGATGGGCTCCCATCCCTTCCTATCTGCTTGTTCATCCTCTTTCTAATCTATGTTCTTTTCTCCCTTTGCTGATTTCTTACTAACTGGCTACTACCTCATTTTCTCTCTCCACAGTCACCAGCTCAGATTTTAAAATGTGAAACTTCCAGGGAAGTTTCAAAGAAGGGAATGTTAGTGCGACCTAAATAGCTAAGATAAATTCAGCCAATGGTTAACATAGGTTAGCATAAGGGAAGCCATCTCAAAGAGGGGAACTATGTTGGGGCTATAACAAGACACCCCTTTCCCTTGTTAGCAATGCTCTAGATTGCATGCAGCGTGGAGAAGTACACATCTGCTTGCTCTGCTATTTTTGTAGCCTTGGCTTATACACAGACCTCCCTATTCTGATAAGGCAATAACTTTGTTCTCTCAGCTTCTCCAGGGATGTGATGACCTTCAGGAAAAAACCTCTGCAGATATCTGTCACCAGGCGAAGAGAGAAAAGTATACTCTGTAGTCTCAAGGACCACAACTCCTGATGGTTAACACCTCAAGACCCCCCTTTTTCAGCCCATTTGCCCTATATAAAGGCTTCAAAACTTTGTAGTTTTAAAATAGTTCTTTAGGACATGGATCCCTTATATTCCCCCTTGCTGGCAAGCTGTAATAAAAAGACCTTTTCTCTTTTACCACGTTGCCTCCTGAGTGTTGGCTTGTCTCACGGCGAGTAGAAGACCTCTTTTGGTGATTACAGGAACTGACGGGGTTCAGGACAGGCCACCACAAGATGTCTTACTCTGGTACGTGTGTTATTTTGAGCTGAAGACAATCAAGGCTCAGGAGACTCTGGAAGAATATTTTGCCTTCCCCCAAATTGCCTAAAAGAATTTAAGAGAGAAGGGCCTGTCCCAGGAGGAACTCTTACCATGGATAATTCTAGGTATGGGGGGCAGGAAAGCATCTAGCAAGGACAACTTTATCAAAAGGTCTCTTTTAGGTCCCATTGTCTATAGATGGGACAATGGAAGCATTTGTTTACCAGACATGAATTCTTTTCATCGTCCTGTAAATTGCCTTCTCCCCCTTTGAAATCTCAGACCTCTATCTCCCTCTCCTTAGTCTAGAAGGACACGTACACCTCATTTTTCCTAGCTCTCTTTGGAATTCTTCATGCTTATGTGAGTTCCCCATGTGCACATAGTAAACTCTGTGATTTTCTCTTGCTATCCTGCCTTATGTCATTTCTAATTCTTTGACCAGCCATGAGAACCAGAAGGGCAGAATTCCTCCCTCCTCCCCTACACCTTCAATTGTAAAAAGTGCAATATCTGAAAACACAATAGAATGAGGTATGCCTGCAAAAGGTGATGTGACTTTGTTAAATTAACATTTGTTAAGTAGAGCCCTGGGGATATTGGACAGTGAGATTGGGTTCAACAAAAGGCCACAAGGAAATTGAAATAGAGAAGTTTGTTACTCACAAGTCCTGGAGAAGGTCCACAGCACACCTTGAGGGGCCACACCAGGAGCTTAAGGCAGAGGGCAGGCAGAGAGATGGCAGGACCTGGGGCATATGCCTCTATTGGGGCCCTCAGGTGGAATGTTTTGGGGTTCCCGGGCTAAGTCTGGATTGGTCAATTCAAACCAAAAAGAGGTTGTGCTAAGCTTTGCAGGGCTCTTATCTAAAGGACTCACAGGGGGAAGGCCCTGGGAGGTGGGGAGAATGCGTCTCACCAGGGCAGTTGAGAGAGCCATATCAGGAACTTCCACTGACTTGTGACTCTGCCAGTGGTTATCTAGGGTGAGCACTCTCAGGAGGGGCTAGTGTCACTTCAAGGCCCCTGCAGGCTGCTTGGCCACAGAAAATGGATGCCGAGGCTGCAACACTATGGAGAAGTTTAGGTAAACTCCCACAAACTCTTAGAATAAAGCAAAGGACTGCAGATTAGGTAATGGTTTCTTTCTTTCCTTATTTTCTATTTCATTTTTGTTGTGGTAACATTGGTTTATAACATTGTATAGGTTCCGATCTACAACATTATAATTCAACATCTGTGTACACTACAGCGTGCCCTAGCAAAAGTGGAGCTTCCATCCATCACCATATCCTTGACTCCCTTTACCCTTTTGCCCTCTCCCCACTCTTTTCTTTAAATATGACACCAAGTGTTTAAGCAACAAAGAAAAATATAGATAAATTGGACTTCATCAAAATTAAAAACTTGTGTGCCTCAAAGGAGGCCATCAAGACGGGGAAAAGAGAATAAGACACTGAATGGCAGAAAATATTTTCAAATCATATGTTTGATAAGGGAACTGTATCCAGAATATAGAAAGAACACTTACAACTCAACAGTAAAAGGATAAATAGTCCAATTTAAAAAGGGGCAGAGGATCTGAATAGACATTTCTCTGAAGAAGATATATAAATATCCAATAAGCACATGGAAAGATTCTTGACATCATTAGTCACTAGGAAAATGCATATCAAAACCACAATGTCATGCAACCCCCTCCCAGGATGGCTACAGTCAAAAAGTCAGATAAAGGGCTGGTCCCAGTGGCCTAGTGGTTAAGTCTGACATGCTCCACTTTGGTGGCCCAGGTTTGGTTCCTGGGTGTGGACCCATACCACTCATCTCTCAGTGGCAATGCTGCAGCAGTGGCTCACACACAAAAAAAAAATAGAGGAAGATTGTAACAGATGTTAGCTCAGGGAGAATCTTCCTCAGCAAAAAAAAAAAGTCAGAGAAGAACAAATGTTGAGGATGATGTGGAGTGATTGGAACCCTCACGCACTGCTGGTGGGAATATAAGATGGTGCAGATATTTTAGAAAACCATTGGGCAGTTCCTTAAAATGCCAAACATGAAGTGACCGTATGACCCAGCCTTTCTGCCCCTAGGCATGGACTCAAGACATGAAAACATGTGTCCACACAAAAACTAGTACATGAATATTCATAGCAGCTTTACGCATAGTACCCCAAAGTGGAAGCAATCCCAATGTCCATCAACTCATGGTAGAGAAATAAAATGTGAAATCTCCTTACAATGGAATATTATTTGTCCATAAGAATGAGAAAAGTGGTGATACAACATGGATGAATCTTGAGAACATTATGCTAAGTGAAAGAAGACAGTTACAAAAGAGCGCATATTCTATGATGTCATTGATATGAAATGTCCAGAATAGGCAAATCCATAGAGACAGAGAGTAGATCCGTACTTCCCAGGGGATGGGGGAGAGGGGAACGTGAAATGACTGCTAATGGGGACAGAGTTTCTTTTTTGGGGCGATGAAAATGTTCTGAAATTAGATAGTGGTGATGGCTGCACAATGCTGTGGATGTACTACAACCCACTGAAGTGTAGGTTTTCAGTTGGTGAGTATTATGTATGTGAATAAAGTTATTACCAAAACAACAGATAAAGGACCAAACTGTTTCCAAGAAAGAGTTCCAGGGGCAGGAAGGGCTGGGTGCCGGAGAGAGATGGAGCCTGGTAAACAGAGGAGCAGAGTAAGAAGTGGGGAGACCAGTGCTTCCCCCAAGCTGGCCCCTTGTGTGTTACCTGATTGGGGATGTGGAACGTGAGACAGTCACTCATGTCTAAGGGCTTTGAAATGGAGCTGGGAAGCCATGAAGGAAATGGGCCTCATGCACGTCCTCATCCAGCAGAACATGAACTTCCAAACTGAGTTTTCAGGAAAGTGTGCTTGCTTGGTCTTTGCTTGTTGCTTGTCTGTCCTTTTAAAAGTAGTCTGGGTGCATTTTCTGGTAGCACCTGTAGGTGGGGCTGTTTTTTTCTTGGGTGAGAATGTTATCTGAGCATTCAATTTATAAAGCAAATTTTGCCCAAGGAGGGGAGTGGGACAATCTGGGATATATAAAAAGCTATGTTTCAGCTTTGTTTTCCCAAGTTGCATCCTGGTAGTTCCAGCAGGGGTCTCTGTTGAGTTTTGCCAGTAACTCATGGGAGACACCACATGTATTCCACCTAAGAGACCCTTGGGAAAGACTTTGGCTGATTGGTCAACCTATAGTTAAAAGACAAAAAAACAAATGGTATTTTATTGTAACACCACTTGGCCAATGTCTGTCTTGGAAAGTGAGGAAAGATGGCCATTGGAGGTAGCTTTGAGTTATTACACTATCTTACAGTTGGAGTTGTTTCATGAGAGATCTGGAAAATGGGATGAGATTCCATACATGCAGGCTTTTATGCAGTTACATAATCAGGAAGGTGACCAGCCAGGGACCAAGCTGATGGTCCAAAGAAAAGCCAAGCCTCCGTTAGTCAAAGATGTTCAGACACAAAAAGGAAAACTTGATGAGGACATGGCTGCCCTAAGTGTGTTGAATCCTTTTAATCCTAATTTCAGTGTGACACAACCACTGATGGCAAGTGCCCCAGACATTAGAAGGAAGCTCAATGAGGTTGAAGAGGTCATAGCTATGAGTTCTGGTCAATTGGTGGAAGTTGCTTTCAAAGTTTATAACTCTCGAGAGCAGCATAATGCCAAGGCAGTCACAGTGATTTATGCAGCTCCCCCGGATGGGAGAAAGAGGAAAGGATGCCAAAAATTAGAGAAAAATCAGTGTCCCTATTGCAAAGAAGACGGACACTGGAAAAGTGAGTGTCCTAAGTTAGAAAAAGGCACGAAAGAGAAAAATCACGGTTCCCTGAGGAAGCTCATGAGCTCTTGAGTCCAAGACGCAGAAGAGGAAGACAACAATGGGGCCCAGGGTTCCTTGCAATACTGGTGATTCCCATTCCAACAGTCCCCCACAAGCCCTGGTACAACTGACAGTAGGGACACAATTGGTTGACTTTCTAGTGGATAGTGGTGGCACTTATTAAGTGTTAAACTGCAAATTGACATCATTAAGTAATTCTTTGGTTGCCATTGTTGGACTCATTGGCGAAACTCAACAGAGACCCATGCTGCAATTGCCAGAACGCAACTTGGGAAAACAAAAGCTGAAACATAGCTTTTATGTATCTCAGATTGTCCCATTCCCCTCTCAAGGTGAGATTTGCTTTGTAAACTGAATGCTCCAGATAACTTTCTCACCCAAGAAAAAACATCCCCACTACAGGTGTCACCAGAAAATGCACTCAGACTACAGGCCTTCCTGGAAAGAACAGGAGAAGGAGCATGCCCTCCCCCAAAATACAGTGTCTTGAGTGTCTTCTTCACAAATATTAATAAAAAGACTTAAAACAAAATTTGGATTCATAACTAGGGAGCTTTGTATTACTGTACATGATTCGTGGCAGTAGTTTTTAAAACAATAGCTGTGGAAACTGTGTATGTGTGCCTATAGTATGTTATATGTGTGGGGTATTTTCCCTCCAGATAGTATGGCCAATAATTAAGAACTCTCTTTAATTGGCTTAAAGTAAGCACTTACCCAAATTGTTTCTAAATGTAAAAGAAATTAACCCAAATGATTTTTAAATTAACATGATAAAAATTAATCTTTGGTAACTGAAAGCTCATTTAAGTTTGTTGGTTGATTAAAATAAACATGTTTTCAGAGTTATCAGCATTGAATATGGTGCAGGCATGCAGCCTTTATTCTACATTTATTGGTCAAATAAGCTGATGTCATCTCTATTACAAAACTAGTTAAAAATAATAACTTAAAATAATGGAGAATTTTGCCAAATGTCTCACAAAGCTT